AGTTCCAAATGACAGTTTATATATAGTCTTTTAAAAGGAAACGACAGCAACAGAAATGAGAACCAAATATATTTTGCATTTTTCTCTCAGAGTGTAAGCCTGCATCACCTTACTTAGGCTATATGCAAGCGAAAAATATAAAAAGTCACTCCCATTGACCATTTTCTCAGCACCTCATACAGCAGCAAACACAGAAAGGGTACTTATGAAACATTTGTAAGGAGTGAATGATAAAAAGCAAAAAGCAGTTCTTGTGTGCATAGTCTCAGTATTACAGACAATAAATTCTGACCTTTGAATTCACATAAAAGATGCAATGGAAAAACAATTTAACATGGATGCTGCACTAGAGGATTAACAGCTGAATTCAGTTTATTTCTTAGAAAAGAAAGACAGGAATGCACGCAGCCAGTTCAGAGAAACAGCCAGGGCTTTTTTGTATGACATGAAAAAACCAGCAAGTCAACGTGTGAAACATGCACACTAATTTCTCATCTTCTTAAACACTAAAAAGCCCCGAAATCTTGTTAGCACTAAGCCTGGATGAAATCGTGTTAAGATATCTGATTAGTCTCCCTTAGTTGGCATTTTCCAAAGGAAAACAAAAAGTAACCCATTTTATTTCGGTCAGACATGGCTTTGGGTATCAGAGAAACGCAGCTCTGACAGCAGCTGCACCTGCAGAAGCCCAAACACGCTCCTGCAGCTCATCAGAATGCAAGTGGGAGAGCAGGCCAGCAAGCAAGCATCCTCCTGCACCCACATCCATTAGCCAAATGATTACATCTCCATCAGCCTGGTGGTGTAATAAAGCAATTGTAATAGGGCATTGTTACAGGATCAATGTTTCCTGGTTTAAAAATAAACATCAGCATTTATCTAGCAGCAGAAAGCAATTCTCCCACAGTACTGTTTTATTCAACTGACATCTTTTAATCAAAGCAATCCATATCGTGGCAACATTCCAAGGTATCATAATTGCAAATATTTATGGCAAGTTAGATAATAGCTACATTTTTGTTACTATACTTTTCTTTTCTACAGATTTGATGCAGACATTTTCTAATAAGTTAATTCCATTAAAAAGATCTCAAGTAATTATATTCATCAAGACAACCTCTCATCTGCCGCCTCCACCAGTTTCCCTTTTAACTGTTATCCATAAATGTTTATGTGAGTTCATGTCCTTTAAATTTTTCAAAATACCTCAGTAATGAAGATAAATTAAAATGAAGCCCCTATTGTTAAGTGCCATAGATATCACTAAAAACATAGCATGGAGGGAGGCCAGGGGCCCTCGGCACAGGCATAGGTCAGTTCCTGCACCCCAGCTAATGTTCTTGGTGGCTGAGCCTCATGTGCTAAGTATGTGGCTAATGAGATTCAGAGGCTGGAGGAAGAAGTCTGTGAAGCTGGCAGCAGACCCATTCCCACAGCCTCCCAAGCTTGCCTCTCAGCTGATGCTCCTTATCAGGGGCTCCTGTTACTTGCTCCCTTGGCTGATTTCCTGGAGAAACGCAGTGCTAATTCAGGGAGAGGCCTGAGACATCATCAGCTCAGCTGTTTCCAAACCTCAGCAGGCCACTTCTATAATACTAATTTTAATGAACTGCCCTCATTCACATTTAATTTACAAGTTATGTAAAGCCTCCAAGTAAAGTGTTTCCATCATCTCCTTGCCGAGTCAGAATGGTATTATTCTTTCTAAAGCCCCCAAAGTCACTTCCCAGGAGCATCGGGCAGAGATCTTCAGGCAGTGAGAAAATGGAAAATGCACTTTTTTTCACTATCTGGAGTGTGCTGGAGTTTCCAAAAGAAAAACTGAACTACAGTCTTAATTCTACTTACTTTAGTTTGAAAACAACTGAATTAAAGTATGGAGGCAGACACGTAAAAGATGTAAGATGGGCAGAGTAGCTAAGGCAGGAAGCGTTTATCCACTCAATTCCCTGGAGCAGATTTTCAGAGCAGAAATGGTGTCTTAGCAATGCAGGCCTTAGGGAGACTGGTTTAGTTCTAAAAAGTTGCCCAATTTCACCTCCTGGAGCCTTTATTTCTTCATATGCAAAACAGAGCCATCAACCCCCCAGCACCCCAAGTCACAGTCGTAAGGAATAAGTTCAATGAGCGAATGTATTGGAAATGTTCTATACAGGTAAGAAAACAGTAACTTTCTTGAAAAGGTTCCTATCAGAACAGATCTGAGGAAGGCGGGTGGTGTGGAGTAGGCTTTCTCCAAATCCAATCAGGTCACAGAAACTTGAGGGACCCAATTTGCGTAGGGAATGCGTGATCTCAAAGCTGCTCTTGATGTTACAGAAGAGTGTGTTGGCCTTATGGGATTTGTGTGTCACGAACTAGAGTCACCCGTCTGTACACAGGGGCCTTTCTAAATACAATTCCATTCCTGCTCATCTTTGAGAAGACTCCTACTCAACAGCAGCAAACACGGCCCCGAGTTCAATTCAGAGAGGTCTCCTCAGAGTGGTGACTTTTGATTCACTCCACAGTTTAGGTTAGTTCTTCTTCTGGCCAGACAGCAGGAGCAGGGGCAGGGGCAGGGGAAGCCACGATGACAGTCCCTTGAACGAAATGCCATCTCCAGCAGGGGGAAACAGTTGCCTCTACAGTGAGAAGGTCTCGGGTTAAATGTTATTCAGGTGTTCGAAGTGACACTTAGAAGCCCAATACCCCTATCTCTGGATATATGTATTTTCAGACTACAAAAAGAAATGGACCAGTCCTTTAGAGAAGGAGCTGAAAATAATAAATGGCATTGTATTTTGGCATGGATTCTGGTTTGCAAATACAAAAATTTGTGTATGCAAAAAATATAGGCACAATTTGAAAACTGTCAAGCTACTGACATACGGCACATACGCTACACATGTGCACATGCATGCACACACTCACTTGCACACACACACAGCCTGTTTTCAAATTAATTTGAAAGGCTCTTCAGCTCTGAGCTCTCACTACATTCAGTTCTATCTGACTCAACACAGCCTGCAAGCCGGGCACTGATACCTTTTGATAGCAATTCTGTTCCTGGGATTTGTTTGAAAGCGTATAGTTTTTCACGGATCACTAGAGGTTCTTCATTTTTCCCCCTTCTGTGTTATGGAGGTATAAGCCATCTATCTAGGCATAAACTGTCCACTGGTAAAAATCAATTTTGATTTTATCAATATGTATTACTGCCGGTGCCAGCAGTTTAAAAGACTAGAGAGGAAAAACATGCAAACTAGGAGGAGAAAAGCATTCAAGCCAGTTCCTCACACCTACAAATAATACAGCCTGCTGTCTTTAAGAGGTATTTTGTATCGTGCCAAGGAAGCTTAAATTATCAATTTAAAAATTCAATCAATAAAAACTTTCAGGATTCTGTCACTGCTTCCGTCTCTTCTGTATTTGTGAGCACTATGGCTGGAATTTCTGAAGCCAGGGCCATCCTCTCTGAGGTGCCGTGGAGCCAGTAACTGCAGGAGCAGAGTGGAGGGCAGCCTGGCTGCAGCTCCCCCATGCACACTGCCCGGTGGCACCTTACCCAGCCTCGCTCTTTCCATGTTTCATACCGATTATCTGACTCTTAACCTTGGGGCAGGGAAGGCTTTTGTGACAGTCCCCATATTCACCTTCTCTTTGCCTTCCTCTCTCTTTTTTTCATTATGTAATTCCAGGAAAGACACCCTAAATGTGCATGCATCTCCAAGTTCTCCAGAGCCGTGCCTGCTCCACATTCTTTCTTTTCCTGGCACATTTTTGGCTGCCAGGATGACTGAGAAATAACCAACCTCCCACTACTCGCCTGCTTCTCTTCCTGAAGCGTTTCCTTCTGCCATTCAGTCAAAAGCCCCACAAACATGTTCACCAAGTCCTAACCTCTATAAGAAGAGAGACTTCAAAGGATGATTAGCCGCAACCAAAATACCCACATCCTCTGAGAAGTTGAACACCTTCTCCTAGATGTACACAAAATTCTTAAATCATGTTCAAAGGTCTAAAACAGAGTAGTTGCCCAGATAATTCTTTTCAGGAACTGTCACAGACTCACAGGCCAAATCCCATGACCTGGCTGTTTTTGTGAATAAAGTTTTATCAGAACACAAGGCCATATCCTTTAAAAATAAATAGAGCCCTGCTCTAATGTAGTGGGGCTGTACTGCACACCTAGGCACTGCTAGGGGCCATCTAAGCACTCTCCTATCAAGGACATGAGGGCCTGGAAGCTACAGAAACACTTAACCGGCTGCAGCACCTCCAATTAGCAAATGTCAGTCCCCTCTGGAAAATTAAGTGGCAGAAGGCACCTGTCTTACAGCTCGGTCTTTTCACTCCCACGGGGGTGCACGTGGGAAAAATGCTGGAGATGAATTCATACTGGGGTGGCCTCCTGTCTGCATACTCAACGCAATCCATGGGTGACTGGGTAAGAACTAGGTCTGCTCACCACTTCTGTGAGTACCTGGGATTTAAAGTGAACATTTTTCATGAAGATAGGAAGTTACTCAGACCAACCACAGACTTCCACTTCTCCAGTTTTAAGAGCCTTGACCCAACTTGACAGAGCCAGGCTTAGGAGCAATGTGGCTCAATGTATGTGACTTCTAAGGGCTGCCTTTGTTCTGATGAACTTGTCCTCTCAAGCCTGTGCACAGAGTGGGACTGTACCCAGCATGCCTGTCACTAGTCTCAACGGCATGGTTCCCTGACCTAGCAGAGAGGCTTTTTACTGAAGGTCAAAGCAATGGAAGGCCAAGGGTGACCAGGTGCTTAAATATTCAGCAGTTTTATTTTTCATACTGTCAGTTGAAAACAACCAAAAACTACACACACACACACACACACTCTCACACACATATAGTTAAATCATTAAATAAGTATTTCTTATTTCTTGATTAAATAAGGCTCATTTTAAAATCAACCTTCCAATGGCAAAATAATAAAAACGATAAAATAATTCCCCACACACAGCAAATGTGACAAAATGACAAAAGAACTCTTAATTTTGGGGCTTTATTATAATTTTTCTTTTCAAGATACTACATAGTCAAACAGAACTGGATTGGTCTTTTATGGCATAAAATTAATTCACAGTCAAACTCTCAACTAGGTACTAGATGGATTCGCTGAACAGTCTCTTTCCCACTGCTCCCACCCCTAACTGCTGGCGCCCTCGCTTCTAACTCTCTGCAGCCTGATCCATTCGCCCTGACTCCAAGCTAGGGCCCCAAGGGGAGGTCAGGATCAGACTTGAACCTGGGTGCTGGAAGTATAAGTAACGGTTGAGAGGTGGTACAAGAACAATCTAGAAGACTTGAGTACTCTTCATTTAAAAAGGTAACATAGAATTGACTGTCACTACTGAGAATTTCCCTCCCAATGACAGTTGTTATTTACTGACCCAGAAAAACACTTCCTGGAAGCTCTTCTCCAACATTGCAATAAACCCCACCTCCACATGACCAGGCTCTCCAGAGACAGAGGAACCCACAGTTCTCCAGCAGCAATACCAGTTCACCCACTAGAGTTCGGCAGCACACAGCATTAACTGTACTCTTGTGACAATAAGAAAACATGAGATGAAATACATTAAATAAGTTAAGTATGCATTAAACATCTCTGAATAACAGTACAACTTCACTACATGAACCAATAAAAATTTAGCTTGGTCCCTTTAAGAGAACAAAGCATTGCCATATATTTCCAAAGCACTGGGTCAATCAGTCAACACACGCCTCTCACTCAAGATGGGTACATCTGATGCTGCCACAGTGCAATTCCTTTGGGCTTCTGACTCTGTTCATCAGTCCCAAGGAGCTGATGGCTTGGATAGAACTGAAGACACGGAAAGCAGCCTGGGGCAGGAGTGCGCCACGTGGGGACTACTGTGTGGAGCTGACCGCACTCCCCACCACGCTGGGCTCCAGCTCTCCACTGGCCAGCACCAACAGGCGAGGAAGAGTGTCTTGTTTTAAGAGAGGTAATCCAGCATCACGTACCAAGGCCTACCAATGTTTAAGATGACGTTTACACTATGCCATTGTGGCATTACTCATGGTTTCCCTCATCATTAATAAAGATCATTCTTCCCCCCCCCAAATCATTTACTATACATTTTTAACTTTCTAAAAGATCGTTATATTATATTTGTGTGTGTGTATTTGTGTATGTGTGTGCAGGGAGGGGTAATTTAAAGGCAAGACCTGTGAGATGTCATCATACATTAATTTGTTTTTACACATGGTTATGATAAATTTAAATCCCATGATATGGTGGATCCATCAATCCAATTTACCATCCTGTGCATGCTACCTCTACAAGGCAATCTTCCCAATAATTACACCAACGATAAAGAATAAGACCACCAGAGCCAAGAGCCGGGTGCTAAGGCCTTCTTCCTTCCCAGTTGGGGCTAACATGGAAATGGGGCTGTTGCTCTGCACTGTCTTCCTCATCCGAAGTCCATCTTCTTCCTAGAGGAGCAAATGCACATTTCAAAGACAATCCAAGGCACCAGAAAGGGGAGTCAACTGTACAGCTTAGCAGGATGGGCTGTTTATGCCCAGTGTTGGAGGACATGATACGGTCCACCGCATTTTGCATATGGAGAAACTGCAGGCTACAGAGCGGAAGGCACTAGCCTGAAGCCACTGAGAAAACAGTCCCCTCTTTTCTTTCATACATTCCACTTGATGCTGACAAATCTAAGCAGGGTGCTCCTTGGTTTCCCATGATTTACAGAAAAAAGCTTTTAAATGGGGTCGACGAGGCCCTTTGCACCCTCAGCCCCACCCACCCTCATGGCCACGTCTGCAGATGCTTTTCTTCAACCCCAACCTCTGTCCCTTCTGCCTCTAATGAATAGGCTTCCTTGATCAAATCATCATCAATTTTTAAAATCACAGGCATTTCCTAAGACATAAATATATATACAAATCATAAGAATCTACAAAGTCAGCTGGGCACAATGGCTCATGCCTGTGATCCCAACGCTTTGGGAGGTTGAGGCGCGTAGATCACCAGAGCTCAAGAGTTCGAGACCGACCTAGTCAACATGGTGAAACCCCACTTTTATTAAAAATACAAAAATGAGCCTGCCTGGGGCAACACAGTGAGATTCCATACCAAAAAAAAAGAATCTAAAAGTAGGACATCTGGAAGCTGTCAAATGAAGAGCTCTGTACTCTGTACATAGCTAGTACCTGATGAGTTACAAACAGACTGCTGGATCAAATGATATTTGGAATATTAAAATGTGGCTGGCCTTGGTACACTCATCTCAAACAGTTTCTACTTAATGCATAGATTCATTGTTGAAAAAACAACATTCTTTTTCATACATATAAAGATACTTGACCATATTCCCCACCCTCCCCTTGACCCCAAACTACATAAATATGTAAGAAATGAAAAATGTTTTCTTCCTTCACCTCCACTGCCACAACTGCCTTGCACTTTCCTAAGAATCTGCAAGTTACTATGTAGATCTACGATGCCACTTCCATGCCCTCAAAGCCATGTCCACATCCCTGAAGAGGGACACGCATCAAGGCCATTTCTATTCTGGCCCAGACTTATCACAGCTGCCAGATCTCTTGCTAATCACCTCATCTACTCACCCCTAAACCCCACACACCAGCCATACTTTCTTTTCTTTATTTCCTTCCATTCTCTCCCAACCACCCAAATACCTAGCAGGTCCTGAGGCAGATGAGTCCCATGGGGCTGACTCTCCTTGCAATTTGTTGCTATCTCTGTGGGACATTTATCACACTGGCTTGTAATCATTTCTGTCTATGTCTCTCCCTGCTATCCCATCACCAGAGAGCTCCCCAAGGGCAGGAACTGTTCATGTTTGAATCCACAGTGCCATGCACATATTAGACCCTCAGTAAATTTGCTGGAGAGATGACAGAATAAACCAACACAAAACAAAAAGCAGCATTTGGCAGGATAAAGAATCTTCTAATGTCAAGATTGGTCTGATAACATTTTGAGGATATTCTGCTCTTGGGGCATGGCCAGTATCACTGCACAATGATAAACAACTGGTGTGTTCGACTGGCTTAAAAAAAAAAAATGGGCACAGCAAACTACAGCATTTATTTTATTGGGTTTATATAGAAGCTATTTCTACCTATTTATCACTTTAAACAGCACAGAACTCTGTTTCTGAAGAGAAATACACCCAAGGAGAAGCTTTAGGTATAGCTTAGATTTTTAGCCAAAAAGTAGTGTCAGCTTCACAATTTACTCCACACAGAAGAACTTACTGATTGAGCCAAATCAAGATCACTGCAAAGGAAGATGATACTGCATGCCATTTCCTGAATGTTGTCAGTTCTCCTAAATCTATCTCATTGTCAGAATAAAAGAGAAGGAAAAGTCAAAATATATGAATTTATTGTACGTACCTGGCTGTAGGGTACTTTAAGAATGAAAGCCTATTTACATGCTTGGGTGACATGATCAAGATTAAGGAAAAGGCCTAAAAATGTAAGCTGCAACAAAAGTTTCTATAATCTGATGTTCAGAAATGTTCTCTTCAATACCATGTCTAACACAAACTCATACTTTTAAAGCTGAAAGGGGCCTTAGAGGTGTTTAGCAAACAAAGGCCTAAGAGATGCTGTGACCAGCAGAGATTCAGAGTTGTTTCAAATTGGATGAGAGCAACTTCCACCCCACTACAGGCCTCTAAGCCAAAAGAAGCACCCCTTCACCACTCAGTACAATTCAACCTTCCACTGCCAATGCCAACTGCCTCGTCAACGAGCTAGAGGCTCAGGTTTCCCTTCCATAATCCCCACCTCCTATCCACTGTGCAGCATCCCACCTCCAATCTCATCATGACACCAATCAACAGTGTGATGAGCCACGACTGCCCAGACCTATTTCGAGTCTTCTAAAATCAGAACTATACCTGCATTAAAACAGAGTATAGGTCAGTATTTACCCTCTGAAAAAAAGAAATTCTCACTCAAGTGAATGGGGATGGCATGGGGTTTAAAAATGCATATTCAAAATAAAAACTGCTATTTTGGTCTCAACATTTATTTTCAATTTACACTAATGGAGAGTGTGAGATTTTTGTTTTTTTTTTTTAAAGGGGACAAGGGCTTAAACAGTTGAGAACTGCTGATCAAGGGACAGTGGCTCTTAATTTAGGCAGATCCAAGGACCCTTTTGAGAATCTGATGAAAGCTATGGAAATTTCTTCCCGGGGAGAAAAAAGATAGACAAATGCCAAAAGCAAAAATAAATCTATATATTTACTGGTTCATCAACTTCCTCATCCAAGATCCTAGTGAAAACGCCCTTGTTCTCTGTAGCTTACCAGAAAATAAACTATTACCTTGAACTGCTTGTTCTCCTCCCGTAGCCTCTGAACTTCACCTTGCAGCCTCTTACATTCTTCCATAACCTTCTTAACTTCGGCGTCATCCAAAGAAGAACTCAGAGACTTAGACACTGTTGGTGTTTCTGTCTTTGATGCAGTTGTGGATATAATTTTATTTATTTCTACATCATGCTGTTAAAAAATAAATGAAAGCCTAAGTGTCACCAACCATGTAATAAAGGAGACTTTTTTATGCAAAGTAGTTCTCAGCAAACACCAAATGTAGTAGCATTTTATCCACATTGTAAAATGTCACATTTACTTTTCAAATGGATCACTTTATCTAGTATCTTAATAATCTAAAGCAACTGGGCTCTAGAAATTATGGATAAGAGAAAATAATGAAGTTCGGCTGAGACTAATACTTCAAAGAAAGAGAAAAGGGGCTGTGTATGTTGCACTATCAAATTCCTGTCATGCAAAACTTAGCATACTGTAATTGTGCAAGCTCAGGAATTATTAGCCACAAATTACTGTCACCATAAAGATGTGAACATCCCTAAGATTGCCTTGGTGGGGATAGGAGGCTTGGGAGAGCATTTACGCCGAGGGCGATTTATTTTACCAACTTAGCATTTGGAAGCTGGGATGAAGATGAAACAAGCTCAGTGTCTGCAGTGTTTCAATCTTGAGAAGCTACATACTCCCCTCATGTCCCCTGCCAAGACTGAGCTATGAGCCCCTTCTTGAGATTTACTGGGATGAGAGCCAGTCAGTAGAGGGAGGGCATGGGAACATGAAATTTGTCAGGGAAAGAGTAACTAAGGATCACTGACCTGGGTAGCAAACTGAAAACCAGGAATCTAGCTCTACCCATCATTTTCCAGATGAGAAGAGTGGGCCCTGTAAGGCAAGGTCCCAGGCTACAGAGTCAACCTATCACAGAGCTGAGGCCAGAATACAGGTTTCACAACTTCCAAACTGACCTTCCTGTGACAGGCTGTACACTGGGAAGAGGGAAAAATGACCACTTAAAGAAACAGGGTAATGATAGTGGTAAGTGACTGAGCAGAAAGAAAATACCAGGTAGTTTGACACAAATCAACAACATCCCTGCAGATCAACATGGATGATGTTAACAGAACGTTTTGGGACACTGCTATTCCCAACTCCAGCTATTAACCTCTAGGGTAGTTTCATATGCTGCATGTTTTCAGTTTTGGTGTTTTTATGACAATTAAAATGTTTCTGACTATGCTGAAGGGAAGCCCAAATGAGCATTTCAGTTACAGTCTCCTTTCTTCAACTGGTCACAAGTGAGGACCATGAAAGAGACCATGAGCAGACAGCCTAGAGGATGGGGCTCCTGCCTTCTCCCAGGTAGGCAACACAGGAGTGGGATCATTCTCAATGGGGGGTTGATATTGACCTCCAGGACACGTGTGGTAACATCTGGAGACATTTTTAGCTGTCACAACTTGGGAGTACTACCGGTACCCAAAGGGCAGAAGCCAGGGATGCTGCTATTATTAAGAGACCTTGCAGTACACAGGGCAACCTCCAACACCAAGAATTATCCACCCCAACTGTCAACAGTGCTGAGATTGATCCTCACCTAAAAACAATCTTTGACTGAAGACATAGATAGGGTAAAAGGGGTAGGGAGGCTGACAAGGCACTCTGTAGAACAAGAGAACCTGAGAGCTTCCCACCTGTCTATCAAGCACCATAATAAAGGGCAAATTATTCCCTGTTTGACTTCACCCACTGTTTAACAGCAACCTATACCTTTGCCGGGCCACAAAAGCTCTTTGGGATTTATGACATCGCAATGGACATTGGGCTGCACTTTTCAAGGGGAAACACTGCGTCAATCAGTTGTCTTTCTGCGAGTTTTTCAAAGGTTGATTTCCTAAAGGCCCACTTATTTGTTGACTTCAGCTTATTTTTTTCTTCAGACATCAGAGAAAGGAAAATAATTTGCCAACTTAAATCTTGTTTTTTGCAGGAGATGGTATGCAAATAAGTATCAGCTTGCAACATTCAATTATTGTTAACTATAAACATACTTACTGGTTTATCATTCTCTGCTGGCAATTCAAACACACATCTAAGTTTTGAATCCATAAGGTCTTCTGGTTTTGCCTCCTTCCACTAAAACAATTTAAATTTAATAATCAAGATATTATAAAGCTGCTAGAAGAATAATTTTCTTCCTATGACAATTTCAGAAAAATACTCTTAATGAGAAAACCCCAATGTATATCAAATAAAGAACTAAAGTCTGCTGAGATTTCAATATTTGTAACATGACAAGAGTAAATACACTTGCCTTCTTGAATATTTATTACACTTCACAAACCCTGAAGACTTGCTGCCTGACTCCTCAAAGTCAACCAACGCTCCCCATGTTGCTACTCTGTGGGAGAGGCCAACCACTGAACTGAAAGGAATCCTCTAAATAATGTCTGGCTGACCACAGGTAACCTTAGTTCTCCATATGAAAATACAACTTATTTTAGATTGGGCATGGTGGCTTATGCCTCTAATCCCAGCACTCTGAGAGGCTGAGGTGGGAGGACTGAGGACTGATTGAGCCCAGCAGTTTGAGACCAGTCTGGGCAACGTACGGAGATGCCGTCTCTACAAAAAAATTAAAACATTAGCTAAGCATGGTGGCACATGCCTGTGGTCCCAGCTACTCAGGAGGCTGAGGTGGGAGGATTGCTTGGGCCCAGGAGGTAGAGGCTGCAGTGAGCCAGGATCATACCACTGTACTCCAGACCAGACAACATTGAGAGACTCTGTCTCAAAAATAATAAATAAAATTTAAATGCATATCCTTCTTAGAAAGTGTAAGCACATACTATCTGAGAGTGGTTTTAGAACCACTCTGCCAACCTCCAACAAAACGCAATCATTACCAAATTCCTCCTCTGACACTGTGGCAGTGTCTGGGCTGTATCTACCCCAAGGCCCATCTCCACCTCTCCAGGCTGTAGTGAGAGCATCTTCCTAGCTAAATTCCATGTTCTAAGAGGATGTGCTCCTGATTACTTCTCCTCTTGGCAGCAGAGGATGGGAATTTCAGGGTATTCTAGGATTATAGACCAGCATAGCAGCAAGGTTATGATACAGAAAAAGAAGGCAATTCCCACCCTCCGTGCCTCCAACCCTTCCCAAAACTATGCAAGAGGCAGCTAGTGTAACACAGGTACCAAGAACCAAAAGTGGGGAATGATCTATACATCTGACAATAGGGAATTGCCACAAAAATTATGGCAGATCCGCTAAATGCAATAGCATGCTGCCACTCAAATGATGCAGAAGGGCATTCAGTTAGATTGAGGAAATGTCCAAAATATTAAGTGAAGAAACTGAAAAGAATACTGAAGTCTGCTCCTCTGCACACGCACATCTGTACATGTGTGCCTATGCACATGTGTCAAAAGAACATCAGGCAAAGATCATCACTGAATGCTAAAGCCACCAGGTGAAAGACTGCTAGCAAACAGGATATTCATGTGGTCTCAGAATATCAGATAATTCAAGAGTATCACAGATTACCTATTAACCACAGGGGCAAATGTGCTTTGTGCTATGACAGTGGAGAGAGCTGGCAGTCGCCATCTTAACAAAGTGATCAAACAGCATCACCAACAGCAGGACAACCTGGTATGAAATACCAACTATGAAGTATTAACTATGGAATATTCTTGCCAAAACACATTTAACTTTAATTTAATCATAAGGAAATAATCAAACAAATCCAGAATACAGGACATTCTGTAAGTCAACTGGCCTGGATTCCAAAAAGAAAAAAAAATGTTCAAAGTTTGGGCAGAGTGCAGTGGCTCACACCTATAATCCCAGCACTTTGGGAGGCAGCAGCAGGAGGATCACTTGAGCCCAGGAGTTCAAAACCAGCCTGGGCAACATAGTGAGATCCCGACTCTACAAAAAAATTAAAAAGTAGCCGGCATGGTGGCATGCTTGTAGTTCTAGTTACTCAAACAGCTGAAAGGATCACTTGAGGCCCGGAGGTCGAACCATGATGGTACCACTGCACTTCAGCCCGGGTGACAGAGCTAGACCTTGTCTTTAAAAAAAAAGTTCAAAGTTTGAAAAACAGAAAGGTTTGGGTCCTCTACTAAAGGCCATTTTTAGAACAACTAGAAAATAATGACTATGAATTTATTACATAATAATACGGAATTAAATTTTTTCAGTTATGATTAATAGTACCAGGGCTATTTAAGAGCCCATCCCTGCTCTGAAGTATTTAGGGGTGAAGTATCTTAAGAAAATCTATATCTTAAGAAAATAAGAAAGTTTTTGACAAAAAGGAAACAAACATGCTAATAAATGGCAAATCTAGGTAAAAGTTATATGAGTGGTCACCATGCTATTTTTTCAACTTTCTATATATCACAATAAAAAGAAAAATATTTTAAAATAAAGAAAAAGCAGGCCAGGGGCAGTGGCTCATGCCTGTAATCCTAGCACTTTGGGAGGCTGAGGTGGGCATACTGCTTCAGTCCAGGAGTTTTGAGACCAGCCTGGGCAATATGGAGAAAACCTGTCTCTACAAAAAACGCAGAAAATTAACCAGGCATGGTGATGCGCTACTGCGGTCCCAGCTACTTGGGAGAATGAGGTGGGAGGATTGCTTGAGCCCAGGATCGCTCCACCAGGAGGTGGAGGCTACAGTGGGCCGAGATCACTCCACTGCATTCCAGCCTGGGTAACACAGTAAGACCCTGTCTAAAATAAATAAAGGCAGAAAAATCACAAAGTTCTCATTAACGATGGTTAGGCCTAGTAGAAAAGAACTATGGGTCACTTTAAATTTTTTTCATTTGTGTTATTTCCGAAATTTCCCACAATGTACATTTTATATATTTAAAAAATTTAAACTGTTATAAAAATCATCATACAAGGAACTAAAATGACCCTGTACTGGATATGTGATGCCTGGCCTACTACACACTCTGATAAGCAAGTGTAAGACACTTCATACTAACCACCATGTGAGCTGCGTTTTTATCCCTATTTTACAAATGACCAAAACCTCAACAGAGTTAATAAAACCTGCTCCCAGCCACAACATTAGTAAAAGAAAAAACTCAGCTCCAAAACACCCAAGCCCATGCTCTTTACACTAGGTCATGCAGCAAAAGCCAAACAGAACACACCCTTGGATCTTCCGTATTTTCTATCTGCCATATGTTTCCTTGCTCACACAAATTAACAGAAAGAAATACATCATGTTGCAGAAAATCAAAGAGAATGTTTTTATAAGAATTGTTCTTATGAAAAGAAGACAACCTATTATCATTGACCTCTCTATAACTCAAAAATATCTGGCCTACAAGTAAAACATCAGTGGAGGTGTTTTTTCAGAACTAAAATAAAAGGCTATGTGGCGACACAGGGCATGGGGTGGGTGTGGCCTGAGCTGCCCTTGGTATGAAACTCAGACAGAGGAGAATTGCAGTATGGTGTGAGGAACAGCTGACTCAGGTGGGCAGACCTGCCTTGGATGACTTGGGGCTCTCTTCTGGGCTGGCCAAAGCTGGAAAGCAATGCAAGTGGTATGAGGCAACCCTATCCTGCTTTCCTGAACTGTGAGGACAAGCGCATCTGTCCCTGCTGGGGCTGTGAGTTGTAACATTTGGAGATTTCTATTCAACTCCCAGCCCCAGAATGCCTATGTATTTATTAAAATGTATAAAAAGCTCACTTTGGGGGGGAATGTCCATTATATTCTCTTTTTTTCTAGAACCATCACTAATATTTATTTCATTTACAAAAATAAAGTCATCTTAATTTTACCAAAATTAAAGTTAAACATATATTTAAGCGGGGAGGGGGGGACAAATAATAATCCTTCCTAGAACAAAGTCCCCCTCCCCTACAACCCAACACACACACACATATAGTCTAAACAGGTGAGGACATTCAGTATTTTGACACTCTCTCATGGCTCTGAGTTTGTGGTGGATGAGAAGACAAGGTAAGAAACAGGCAGGACAATGAAAATTATCCTTTTCTGTCAGGGCAGAAAAGGGAGGTAAAAGAAGACAATCCCTAACCATTCAAGACACCATCCACCAATGCAAGGAGCTGATGAAGCATACTGAGCTCAGAGAAGTCAGAAAAGAACAGCCTTCTAGGAAGTCACATAAAATGTTAAAATCATTCCTCAAAGTTTTAGAAAAACCAGAAAGGCAGACAAGTACAAACCTCCTTAAAAAAACTATTCCCTTTTAAACAATTTTGACATATTTTGAAATGCATGCACCCACAATTGCATATCTATTTGGTTTTTAAAATTATTATTACTGAAAAAAATAAGAAGCATTCAGTACTTACTACTGCTTCCATATCTGAAGTGTCAGTTGGAGCAAACATAGACTGAACCATAAACTTGTGTTTACTTTTCTCATTGGGATCATAATCGAAAGGCTGTAACATCACTGAGAAAGAAAATATTTCATTAGGAGGGTCAGAGCTTGGTGGTCAGTGCCATTTGTTATGCTAATACTTGTACTTTGGTGTAAAGCAATTTACCAGCATTCTCTTATCTCTTAAGACGGAGGCCCCTGGTGAAGTGAGCAAGGATGACTAACATCTCCATTTTGCAGGTCACCAACCTAAAAACCACAAAATCAGGGCATGACAGAGCTGGGAGTAAGTTGAGGACCTGGTCTTCTGATTCTTAGTCCAGGGACCTTTCACTACTGCAAGCCTACCATAAATGTCTGCTATAGGCCTTACAGAATCGGGAACCTGGGTAGAAACAGTTTTACCTGTTTTGCTCAAGAAAACCTATCTAAATGATCTTTTGGGGAATTAAACAGAATAATCTAAGATGTTTAAGAACATTTAAGGAAATGTTTTAGCTTCTCTCCAACTCATTTCTCATATAGCTAATCAAGCTAATCCATTGTCAATGGAATGCTAGAAAACTCACAACCAGGACACTCACAGAGCAGGGAAAACAGCATCAGGTTACACTCCCGCCCTTTCCCTAAAAACCTAGAGAAATCTCACACGGAGGATCCTGTGAATGAGTCACACCCAATGCATGGAGGGAGGTGCCTTTCTATCCTGACTGGCTCCCTTCAGCCTACTTCGTAGGGTAGAGCTGGGCCTACTATCAAATGATGGCTTCTTTAAAATATGTTACTTTGCTACAAGGCTTTGGCTAACCCACACATCTAGTTAAGTTCCCTGAAACAACTTCACACGCAGGGAAAGCCTACTGTGGTCTTGACCATAACAATGGGCATGGACTGAGTGTTTCCACGTGCCAGAAACTAGGCTCTGTCCTTTAGCTCTACCATGATCTCATTTAATTCTTAAAAAGTAGGTACCATTGTCGGGGGAGAGGGGTTATTCTGGTGTCTATTTTTCAGATGAAAAGAATGAGTACAGAGAGATGAAATTGCCCAAGGTCATATCTTGGTGGAGCGTAGACTCAAACCCAGACAGTTGGTATGGAGAGCCTACCCTCACAGCCACCACAAAGGACTGGTGCCTTGTCCTCTGACAGTACAAGTCTTACCCTTCTCACCACAGGGCTTCCACCACCTTTCTGCTGGGCCCTCATTAGCATTCTCTTCCCTTGAAACTCCTGCTTTGGGCTTCCCAGGTGCTTCATCTAGAGCCACACAATCAACCACAGCCAGCGGCAGATAGAGAGCAGGGTAGCCCTGGTCTACAAATGAAGAATCTGGGACTCCATAAAGTGAAGTGGCTCCTTCAAAGTCACAATGTTAGGAAGCAGCAACACTGGGACAAAGAGCCAACACATGATGATGCCAAGTGCAGTCTAGCATCCCTTTCACCACACTAGTCACTCCAACATGAGCTGAATTTATATCTGGCACCCAGGCCCCATGACAAAGCTAATGGAACCATTCACGACAGAGGATAGAAATACCAACTTCACCCATCCATCTTAGGGATGCAGGAACACTTTCCATCACAGAACAGAGAAAGTCCACTGAAACCTAACCAAGCATTGGATTTAAATGCCCTGGTATCCCTAGTCACCTAGACAGCTTCACTGCCTGCAAGGCTTCCTGTGCCCTGAGCTACAGGAAGCCTTGCTGGGAGACTTCTTCAGGACAAAATTCAGTAACTGTCGGAGAGTAAATCTTTTATCAACATAATTCTTTCTCTGGCATCACTGAGCTGGCAAGAGCCGAACTTTCCTATAGACAGACCTGGAACATTTAGCTACTTGGGCATGACACTTAACCTCAGGGACAAATGACCACACTGGCAGGTCAATGCTTCTCTGTGTGAAATTCCCAATGTGTTCTTTTTTTTCTGTCCCCAAGATTTCAATAAGGAAGATACACATTATAAAGTAAAGAGCCAATGTCTTCACATGCTCCGTGAACTTTCCTGGACAGGGACTGTCAACCTTCTCTGGAGCTGGGACACACCGGTAGATTTATGCTCACTTTCTGTAATTAAAGTAAATTCAGTTTTAAGAATTTCAGGTCTTGTTTGGCTGTGACAAAATCATGTTTTGGTATTTTTCAGCTTAGGAAAGAAGAGAACTTTCACCTGAACTACTTTTAGATTTCTGGCAGGGCACAGGTCTAGTACTAAACACTGCCTCACCCTTGAGCCTCTGTTCTCCCAGCTGTGAACAGCTGTTGTACCACCCCCAAGTCCACCACTCTGGAGAGCCGTGAGGAGGAACAAGGTTTATTTGTAAAGAGCCCTGTTATGCTCATGTGACAACAATCCAAGGAAAATGCTAATCTTTAAAGAAGCTATTTAGATGAAAGATGAAAATAATACAACGGGTCCCAAGAAGAGAACACACCCCAAAAACAGCCCAAGGAAGTTCTACCTGCCCCTTCCCATTTGTCACCTTCCTAGAGGCAGTGGGAGTAAAAACATACAGCCAAGAGCAGAGTGTCCAGAGCTCTGCCTGGGTTCTAAGGAGGCCCCAAGGGAAAAGAGGCCCTTCCTTTCCACTTCTCCACCACCCCTCAGCTTCTTCATCCCCAATACTTTCATGATGCCCCAAGAAGGAAAGAAAGGAAAAGAACTTTTACTCGTGCCTACTGTGTAAGAGGTTTCATCGAAGGCAAATTCTCCTTAGTTCTCCCAGTTAATACAACAATTCATCAAAGCAGTACATGTCTCCTTTTTCTAAATAAAAAGACAAGGACTGCCAGGCATAGTGGCTCACACCTGTAATCCCAGCACTTTGGGAGGTCAGGGCAGGAGGATCACTTGAGTTCAAGATCAACCTGGGCAACAAAGCAAGACGCCATCTCCTACCCCCAAAAATTAGCTGGGCATGGGAGCCTATAGTCATAGCTACTTGGAAGGCTGAGACTGAGGTAGAAGGATTGCCTGGGCCTGGGAGATGGAGGCTGCAGAGAGCTATGATAGCACCACTGTACTCCAGCCTGGGTGAGAGAGCAAGATCCACTTTCTTTTTTTTAAAAAAAAAAGATAAGATAAGATCTTAGAAAGGCGCTACGTGGGCTCACCTGGGTCCCACAGCCAGCATATTAAACAAGAATGCCAGGGCTCCAACCTGGCTTTGACTCTAGAGTAAAACAATTTACAGTAGTTATTGCCAATGATAAAATACAGGCTTTCAGGCAAACATTATATTTGTGGAAAACTTTTATCTGCCAACAAGAGCTTCACAGTTTTGCAAATACAGATTTTTCCAATGAGACCACCAGGAAGAGAAATGAATGTGATTTTTTTTTTGCTATTAAATGATGCAATATGTCAACATTTGGAAGCTCTGCAACATGACTTCCAAACAACCCATGCATGGTATCACAAAATCCATTCAAAGTACAAGGGAGACTGATGAGTTTTAGTAAAACAATGTTCAAAAAGTCACAGACATGGTTTCAGATTCCACATCATACTAATAACCTTGAAGAGAGTAACACTTGTCAAGTTTTGGCGTAGTATCAAAGAATGTTCAGATTTATACACTATGAAATATTATGCAGCAATCAGAAATGATGAGTTTGTGTCGTTTGTAGGGACATGGATGAATCTGGAGAACATCATTCTCAGCAAACTGACACAAGAACAGAAAATGAAACACCACATATTCTCACTCATAGGCGGGTGATGAAGAATGAGAACACATGGACACAGGGAGGGGAGTATTAAACACTGGGGTCTATTGGGGGGAAAGGGGAGGGCCAGCGGGAGGGGGAGGTGGGGAGGGATGGCCTGGGGAGAAATGCCAAATGTGGGTGAAGGGGAGAAAGGAAGCAAAACACACTGCCATGTGTGTACCTATGCAACTGTCTTGCATGTTTGCACATGTACCCCCAAACCTAAAATGCAATAAAAAATTTAAAAAAAAAAAAAGCAATTAAACATACTCTTCCCTTTTCCAACTACCTATCTGTGGTGAAAGCAGTTTTTCTTCATACGCATTCACCAAAAGAACATATCCTAACAGACTGAATGCAAAAGCAGACATGAGAATCCAGCCTGTCTTCTATAGAAACAGACGCTAAAGAAATTTTCAGTAGGGTGCAGTGGCTCACGCCTGTAATCCCAGTACTCTAGGAGGCAGAGGTGGGTGGATCACCTGAGGCCAAGAGTTCGAGACCAGCCTCTTCAACATGGTGAAACCCTTTCTCTACTAAAAATACAAAAATTACCTGGGCACGGCAGTGCATGCCTGTAATCCCAGCTACTTAGGAGGCTGAAGCAGGAGAATTGCTTAAACCTGAGAGGCAGAGGCGCAGTGAGCCAAGATTGTGCCACTGCACTCCCGCGTGGGCAACAGAGCAAGACTCTGTCTCAAAACAAAAAGAAAAAAGAAAAATGAAATTTGCAGGCCAGGCACGGTGGCTTATGCCTGTAATTCCAGCATTCTGGGAGGCCAAGGTGGGCAGATCACCTGAGGTCAGGAGTTCGAGACCAGCCTGGCCAACAGGCAAAACCCTGTCTCTACTCAAAATATAAAAATTAGCTGAGCATGGTGGCAGGCACCTGCAATCCAGCTACTCAGGAGGCTGAGGCAGGAGAATTACTTGAACCCAGGAGGACAAAGTCTTACTCTGTCGCTCAGGCTGGAGTGCAGTAGCACGATCTTGCCACTACACTTCAGCCTAAGCGAGAAATAAGTCAATGTAATTAAGTAATAACATACTGGTGGCTCTGTCAGGTACTCCTCTTGGGATAATCTGCAGTTTAAAAAGAGAAAGGAGATTTACACAAACCAGATCTTGAGTTTTCAGGATATACCTGGCCCTCAGGTGAAAACAGATGTACACCCGCATGCACACACAACCCTTACAGAAGGGTTGGACGTTTCCTGTGCTCTTCTAATCAAATGCCTTTGTAACTGCTTACTCTACCTCCACAGAAGGGCACTGTCTGAGATACACTGCCTCCTTACTGCAGACCTTACAGATGTCACCAGCACAACTCCAGACCTAGAACAGCCTACCTACCA